GAGCAAAGCAGAGTAGTGGAGAGGAAGTTAAGGTGATGGAGGGGAAGGATTATATAGGGTCTTGTAGGTCATTACAGACTTTTGAATTTTAAAATGCTACCTGATCAGAGCCGCGACCCTCATGCTGGGCGCAGTGCGCGTGCGTGCGGCGGGCGCGTGCGGGGGCGGGAGCCGGGAGGTCGCCGCCGCAGCTCCCGTGACGCACCGCGGGGCCTCGCCCGGGTGTTCGCTCCGCCGCCTGTCCGCGGATCGGTGCTGCGAGCCCCGCGGCTGCCTGCAGGACACCTGAGCGCGGAGGGTGCGGCACGTTGGCACCTTGACCCTGTGACAGGAACACCTTGGCCCAGGAAAGAATGATGTTTAGGCACGGCCTAACCACCTAAGTGAGGGCACTGAAGCTGCCGGGGGAAGGGCAAGCTCCGTGTTGCAGAGCCCAAGCCCGGGGGCGCTGGATTTGTTTTGGTAAGAGGGGCTTTAGCGTCCCAAATGCTGCAAATTGACACACTTATGGACGTGCAAGCGCAAAAGAAATTTGCCCTTTTCCCCCCATCTCCCGCAGAAACAACTGTACACTTTTGCTTTTTAACGTACATCTTCTCAGTCCTCCAAACCTGTGTCCAGATGTGAAACTGAGATCCCCAGGTGCTGAGGTAATTTTTAAATCTGCGGTTAGCCACCCCCGCCCACCTCTAGGCCCTCTGTGGCTTTGGCTCTTGGTCAAGCTTGTTATTTGACAAGGCCAGGCCGGGCTCTTCACCAGAGTAATGGCCTTGCAGAAAGAAAATCTAGCTTCTAAGTTTATTTGCCAAGTATGTATTGAGTGCCTTTCGTGTACCGGGCACTGTTTTAGACTCTGTGGATACAACCGCAAATAAAACAAAAACCCAGCATTCCCGGCATAGAGCTTAAATGGGGATGGAGAGAACAGACAATATATAGCTTAAAGGTAAACAGTATTATGAAGAGTGAGAAGTGCTGTTAGAAAGGACGGCGCGGGGAAAGAGGAGAGAGGTGGAGAGGCAAATTGCAGAATTAAATAGTGTCTATATAGGCCTTGTTGATAAAGTGAGAGTTGAGCCAACTTAAGGAGAATTAGCTGTGTATATGATTGGGGTGTGCTCCAGACAAGAAAAAAAAAAAAAAATCAAAGGTTCTAGATGCGTTGTGTGTTTGTGGAAGACTAAGGCAGATCAATGTTGCTGGAGCAGACTGAGCAAAGCAGAGTAGTGGAGAGGAAGTTAAGGTGATGGAGGGGAAGGATTATATAGGGTCTTGTAGGTCATTACAGACTTTTGAATTTTAAAAGGATTAGAATTTTAAAATTCTTAAAATTTTAAAAGGATTGCAGTGTTGAGAATACATCTATTAGGAACCTGTTACAGTGTTCCAGTAGAGGGCGGAGCCTAGAATTGGCGTGGTGAATTTGGTGAGAAGTAAGTGGATTCCAGCTCTGTTTTGAAGATAGAGCCAATAGAATCAGATTAGATTTGGGATATATGAGAAAGAAAGTCATGAAGGATGATGCCAAAGGCATGAATTAAGTAAGTTAATATATGTAGGGAACTTAAAATTATGCCAGGTACATAGTAAGCATTCAATTTTATTTTGATGTTCTCACCTCTAATACTCAGTATGGGTGACTGTCTACATATCAGTTTCATCATCTAGAATCATGCAGCTTTAAGATTTTGCAATTATGAATATTTACCAAATGAGTCAAGTATTTAAGAAGTTTGCAGTCTATTTGGGGGAGATAAATACATGAAACACACTTTTAATGATACAGCTCCGATGAGTGGAAGAACACCACGGCTCTCATCTCACGGCGAGTTGGATAAAATGACACACACACACACACACAGAGAGTGGTTTTAAGGAGTGGAGAATTTAATGGGCGAAAAAGAAGGGAGAAGAAAGAAGGAAGACGCCCCCCTGTAGAGACACAGGGAGGTGGGCTCCAAAGCCTAGAGAAGAAACCCCGAGTGCCGCGTTAACAGCCGGTTATATGAGGAGGCTGGAGGAGGCGGTGTCTGATTTGCATAGCGCTCAGGTGATTGGTTATCAGGCATGTCATTCCCGTAGCCCACGGAAAAACTTGGCTCTCCCACCCTAGCCTTTTAATATGCAAATGCAGGTCGCCTTGATGTTCTACAAATATGGGGATATGTGGGGGTGGCCATGTTGCCAGGCACATGTAGGGGCAAGGCCAAGAGGACAAGGTGGCTATCGCCATGTTTGTGTGGACTTCGTTTTTAATGGCTTGTATTTGCATATCAAAGGTTGACAGCCGGGTTCTAAGAGCGGGGGCTTTCCTGCTAGACAAGAAACACTTCTGGAGCTACTTTAAAGGAGACAAAAACTTTCCAAGGACCCCTTTTCCTCTCTATCTGCCTAAAATAATTTTTTACTAAATCCTACAGCAGTAATCCAAGACAACGTATTTTGAAAGTAACAAGTTATGTAATGCATATGGCAAGAGCCCCCTGAGTCAAACCCACAGGGTAATGCCTGGAATGAGGATGGGACTTGAAAGATGAGCAGAATTGAACCGGAATGGGTAGAACATCCAAACGAAGACAGCAAGACAAGAATGAGAGTGGTGCGTTGAACAACAGTGGGTAGACTAGCTTGACTAGTTTGGAAGGTATATGGGAAAGAAGGAAAAATAAGTTGAATAAATAGGATGAGGCCAGGTTATCCAGGGTCATGGAAAACCAAAATGAGGAATTTCAAAACCAAGCAGGTTCCTGTGGCTACTTGACATCATTTTTCAGGAGATTGTGTGAAATAGCAGTAATGAACATGATGAGTGATTTTGATAAAGTAGGCACTCCCGAAGATGCCAATGGATATCTTTTCCACCAAGGGCTATCTTTTCCTTGCCACTTCCCAAGAGGGATAAAGAGAGAAGATTCAAAGATTACCTTCCCAAAACTACATCTTTAGGATTGTATTTTGTTTCTCTCTGCACTCTGTATGCTTCATTGTAAGACATCCTCAACAAACAGTGTGTATATCCTGGTATTAAACTGTATGTTATATACAGTGTGTATATCCTGGCATGAAACTGTATGTTAGGAAATATATTGAGGCCATTCCTCCAAGGTCACCCAGTTATTAGCTTGATGGTGTTGCTTTCCCCCTGGATTCTTCCTAGCACCTTGTATTAAGTATCTCTTCTCCAGGTCCTTTTTACCCCTTGAACAAAATTTCTCTCAGCACCTATTCCCTCCTTTTAAAACTTTCTACCAGAATTATTTAAATTAATGAATGTTTCCGGTTGCCTAATGTAACACTGCAACATGTGCTTTATTAAAAATTTTTATATTTCCTCACATTAGTGCCTTTCTCTCAGAATTACCATACAAGGCTCTGTGCTTGAATGTCCTATCAAGGCCACCATAAAAATGGTAGGTTCGATTCATTCTGGTTCGATAGACATATTGGTATTTCTGAAATTAACAGATGTCTGATTGGTCTTGACCCAGCCATCAAAGTTATTCTTAGATTCATACATATTTTTGAATTTTTTTTTTCATAGCTAACTGAACAAAACCAGGGCAATTATTGACCCCTGAAAAACTTATTAAAAACTAGAGATTCAGCTATGCTCTAACTTTTCCCATTGAGAATCTTTCTTATTTCATTCTAGTCACCGTTCTTTTGCCGAAATTTAAAAACAACACCCAGTTTGTCAGCTACAGGTTTCTGAGAAGCAGATGCCAAGACGGGATTACATGTGTAGGAGATTAGAAAAAATGCCTGTGAAGGACAAAGGGAGACCAGCAAGAGAAGGCAGAGAGACTCCCATTGGAATGCAGGGGGGTGGAAATCTGAAAAAGAATGGGAAGGAAGAATAGGTTGAAAGAACCTATTTGCAGTGTCATTCTGAGAGACTCAGCCAGGTCAATGGGGAGTCCTAAGCCAAAGTTGTTCATTAGAGGAATTCCAAATTGGTCAGGAATTGCCCAGTTCTAGTATCTCTGCCGTGCTCAGTCATTGTCTGAGAGCAGTGCAGGAAAAACTTAGTCTGGTGCAAACTCAGTGGTGAATCCAAAAGTGCAGTAGATGGAGACTGTAAGTCAGTTCATAATAACGTTCATGGTGTCGCTTCATGATTTCTGTCAACCTCTCTAGGATAAACTTAGGGAAGGGAAGTTAATAGGACAAACTCTCATCGCAGGTGGTCTGGGACCACACTAGTACTTACCCTGTCCTCCACTCTCCACTCTATATTCCCCTCACTCTCAGCTCTCACTTCAGCAGATCTTGTTGACTTACTTGGTGGCATGACCTAAACTTCACTCCTAAGTGGTCTTGGGCTTTTGTCGTCATACTCTTCTCAGACCGTGACTGCAGTTTGTGTCCATTCACAGTTAGAATTAGGTAAGGGCATACTAAGAGGCACCCAAGTGGATCGTCTGAGTTCCACATGTGTATTTCTCCTTGTCCCCAGGGTGTAAAGGTGGCCCCACCTCCTCATACTAATCAATCATCCTTGCTTGCTGGCCCCTGGCTGCAAAGAGCCAAAAGTGTCATACCGTACATAACTTTACAGTTCAATGGATGCCCGCTCTACCCCGTTGCAAGAGAGAAAACCTGTAATTCTACTCAACCCAGAGTTGGGGGAGGTGAAGCACAGAGTTCTTCAGTGCGTTGTTAGGAGTGATTGTAAATATAGCCATTTGTGATTTCACCTTTTGGTTCCTAGATCCATGTATTTGTCCTACTAGAGACACAGTGTCATATAGAAATCTCTGATTAGTACCTATACTAAATACTGAGAGATGTCATGCCATCCTTGCAGATTATTGTCTCTGAGCTGCTGATTTAGCTGTGACTTAAGTAGGCTTTGCCAGTACTCTATGAGGCCAACTTCACCTAAATAGTACAATATATGATAAAACAATTAGACCCCATGGTCATGGCCTACCTGTACCTCCTTTACTATAAAGTAAGTTTTCTTGTGAATACCCTGCTAGGTGGGATTCTGTGACTAGAGAGGCATTCTGCTAGTGGTGCCAGCTAAATCTTTGCAGACAGGAAAGGCCAGGTTCTAGTACCTGCTCAATCAAAGCCCGGAAGCAGCCAGGGGAAGCGTGGCTTGTCATGAACTCCACAGTGGATCCAAAGGTGTGGCAGTTGAAGGCTGTCAGTCAGCTGCGCTCTCCACAGCAGGTGCTGTGGAACCTGTAAGGCTGATTGGAACA